ATACATAGATAGATAGATAGATAGATAGATGATAGATAGATAGATAGATAGATAGATAGATAGATAGATAGATAGAGATATAGAGCATTAAAACAGAAAGGAAATTGGAGAAAGGCAATTCATGGCAGAAGGCAGATGGGAAGAAAGGGGACCATAGTAGTATAATATGGTCAAAATAAATGTTATGCTTAAAACATATCTTCTCTGGCCTTCAAATTTGCTTTGGATAACTTGAAGGCAATGCAAAACTGGAAAAAGAATACTTTCTTGAAATATAAAGGGATTTTGCTAAATATCATACAAATAGAAAATCAATCTTAATATTAACTTAAACCATGGAAATTCTTTTTCATATATACTTTTTAAATTAAAAATCTCAATTTACATTAATTTATTTACTCTTATATTGGGGGAGAAAGCATATGGCATATATGAAGGTCAAAGGGCAATTTGTGGGAATGAGTTCTTTTCTTCAACCATGTGGGTTACAAGGTTTGAACTCAGGTTGTCAGGCTTGGAAGCAAGCACCTTTATTGGCTGAATTATTTCACCACCCCCTTAAACCATGTAAGAGACATGATATAATCTTGCTCTCTTCAAAATCCTCAGCTGACAAATTTAGGGTCTAAATAATACTTAGTTCCTCATGGTCTTAATAGGACAACACATTTTCATGGCTTCTCAAGTTTTCTGTGGATTCATCCCAAAGCTGTACATCTTCTACCTGTTGCTATGTTCCCCAAAGTCCCCTCCATTCCCTAGTCTTATCACACACACACACACACACACACACACACACACACACACACACACCACATTTTCTATGCAAACTAATCAGTTCTCTTGTAGGTAGATTAATCCCAAAGTGAGTGTTTATGTCATGGAATTCAGATGCAGGTAGATTATTCTCTGGAGGTCACATTCAGTTAAGCATTTATATCTAACTAGGAAAATAGAAAACATTCTCAGTATTTAAAGTAGAAAAAAGTACACGGCTGGAAATTGATTACATCCTCCTGTAAGAAACTGAGAAAGTGAATGGGGGTGGGCAATGGGACAGACAGAGGGAGCTAGAGGTCACTGAGAGCTGAAACCAGGTCAAGCCTCCCTTTCCAGGAGCAGAACTCCAGAACAACTCACAGCAAATGCTAAAAAATAGACAGATAAAGATGGGGAGAAATATACTGATGACTCTTCCTGCAATTCAATGATTTCTGCCAATTCCTGATCAAATCCAATTGGAAGCTTATTCACAAGAGAGTCTGGGAAACAACCTGTGTGCCAGCCGCTCAGAGACCAAACAATGAAAGACCAAAGAATGTGCCTGAGAACTCTGAAATCAGAGGACAAGCACAGTATCACACATGATCCAACAAACGTGACACAACAAAGTATATATGTCCTAGATTCAACCTCCCTCTTCATTCTGCTTCCTTTTCTTTATATGGCCTTCTATAGCCGACTAAACTTGTACCTATTTTATAATAGGTACATATATAATTAGCATGATCTCTTGCTGTTCTTTATTTAAGTTACCTATTTTTATGCTTGTCTCCTCCATAAGACTGGGCAAATATCAGGCTACAGATATGGTTTATTTATTCTACTATCCCAGGATTTAGCAGAAAAACTTGCACACAGTAGCTTGAAGAGTAAGTAGCTAAGGGGATGAGCAGATGGCTCAGTTGGTAAGGTCCTTGTCATACAAGCATGAAGATGAAGACCTGGGTTCAGATATCAGCTAACCTTAATCCCACCCTGAGACAGTGAAGAGAGGAGGACCCATGGAGTATGCTGGCCAGCCAGTGTAGCCAAGAGAGGAGGTGCAAGTTTAGTGAGAGATGTCGTCTCTAAAATACTAAGATGTAGAGCACTCAAGGAAGACTCCCTACATCAAATTTTGACCTCCAGTCACCTGCAGACATATGTGTATGCACACGTAACAGACTCACACACACAAAATGACTGTTGAGTAAAATAATAACCAATATCATTGACTATAAATGAAATGGGTTTTTTAATTATTTATTTAATAACCACATACTTAGAAGAAGCATTTCATTACAACAGCAGTGACATATTCAATAACATTTTCCTGAGCTAAGATGCATCTCTTTCAAAATTGACTGTAAATTTTTAGGTTTGCAGTTGAATTATTACAGTTATACAATCTTATACTCAGTATAAACCTTATAAGACATAAAATTAAATGAGATTTTAACCTTTTTTAATATTTATTTATTTATTTATTTATTTATTTATTTACACCCACTTCCCAGATATAGCCCTGGCTAGCCTAGAACTCACTGGGTAAACCAGGCTAGCTTCAAATTCACAGAAATCTACCTGTCTCTGCCTTCCATGTGCTGGGATTAAAGGGTTTGTTTTAGGAGGGTCAGCTTTTAAAAAAGATCTCCATTTCATAATTAAAATACAGAGTTTCATACAGAAAAAGTCATTTTTAATGCAATTGACATTAAGATGTTTGTACATGCATTTCTAATCTCTATATATCTGATTATTACTAGTCAAAGTCAGTTACTTTCTGAGCTCCTTGGCATATAAGCATGGGTATAAAGTCATCAGGTAGACTTCAGTGGTAATGTTTTACACATCTACTAATTATTAAGGCGCAAACTTTGAAATTATTATTTTTAATAACTTTTTAAAATTTTTAATAACTGCATGATCAGAAGAAGCATTTTACTACAACTTTAACATATTCAGTAACACACTCCAGAGCAAGAGTATATCTCTTTCACAAGTGGCTGTAAATTTTTAGGTTCACAGTTGAATTAATACAGTTATATACTGAACCGAGCAGTATAAACCCTATAAGACATAAA